CACTTTTTCATCAAAAAAAGATGGCGGCGCCCAGCAAGTCAGCGGCCCGGTAGGACTTGTTCCACGGACCGGTACCGGTCCGCGGACCGGTGGTTGGGGACCCCTGATCTACTTAATATCGTTGTTTAATGATCATTCCAAGTCAACAACAGCACTGAAAAAAAGTGATTTACGAACAGTTTTTCACTCTTATGACCATTGTAGCATCTCCATGGTCCCGCGATCAAAAATCCAGAGGCTTGGCAACTGACTCATATTTATGATGGTCAGGACCAGGTCAAGGGTGAAATGAATGGTGTGTCAGAGTCGGTTGCAACCTGGAAATGCCAACATGTCAGCTCCTAATAAATCAATCTTGTTTACTCTGAGAGATGCGGCTATAGACGTGTGATTTGAAGGAGGGTGCATGTCGGAGTCCTGACAGAAGGTGGACAGGTGTGAGGGACCTTGAAAGAGATGAGTCTTGCTTTTATGGTGATAAGTGATTATGGTGACTTATGTTCTGGCGGGCCACAACAGCTGTCTCCTGACCATCACCGCATGGTCTACTTTTTTCTTGCAGAATTTTGTGGAAGTGTACAACCTGACTGCAGATCCCCACCAGCTGTCTAACATCGCCAAGAGTGTCGACCCTTCGCTGCTCGTGCAGATGAACCAGAAGCTGATAAAATTGCAAGCTTGTTCCGGCGTTGGCTGCCGTACCTGAGGGTTGGAACGCTTTGGCTAGGACCAAGAACCCAAGAATCCCTTCCCTCGTGATTTCCTGGCCTGGCGCTCCTCCCGTCTCCAAACGGAAGCGAACGTGGTGCTGCCTATTAATTTAGGATGGCTCGATCTTTTAATCCCAAGTTTGCTGGAGTTTGCTGTGCTGGAATAGGGTTTGGGGTAGAGCAGAAGGGAAAATGTGGGTGAGGAATGAAGGCTCTCACCCACTCCAAGGGCACCCAACCTTAGCGACTTTGAGACTTGTGGACTTCAACTCCCAGAATTCTGGGGGATTCTGGGAGTTGAGGTCCACAAGTCCAAAAGGTTGCCCACCCCTGCAGACACCCAATGAAATTCTAGTGTCTACCTCCCTTCGTTGCTCATCTTGTCTCCTTTTGGCCAGGCAGTGGGCAATGAGGTCTCACTTCAGAGTGAAGAATGTGTCTCAGTCTGGAACTTTCCAAACGTTCTTGGACTACAGCATCCTACAGCAACTGTCATCCTTGGGACTACACATCCCACCTTGCACTGCTCCAGTTAGGGGAGGGATGGGGAGGATTCTTTCCGTTCGGTCATTGATTAGCACAGAATGAAATAACCTGGGATGGTCAACCTCCATGGTCATCTCCTTCCTTTCTTGTGCTGGCTGAGATCTTGGAGGCTCTGCGTATCCCCCTGCAGCGACCATTGTGCCTCGTCTGACTCTCTTGCCAGGTCCATGGTGATTATTGCCGTTGCTATCTTCATACTGTGAAAAAAAATAAATGGAATAAAGCATTTTTTTAAAAATTGGAAAAGCCAGTCTTGCATTTTTGTGTCGTCCCTTCTATGGAGAACCGGACTCCTGACTATTGGTGTCAGATAACAGATAATCAGAGTTGGAAGGGACCTTGTAGGTCATCTAGTCCAACCCCCCCGCCCAAGCGGGAGACCTTACACCATTTCTGACAAATGGCAGTCCAGTCTCTTCTTGAAAGCCTCCAGGGATGAAGCTCCCACAACTTCCAAGGGCAACTTCTGTTCCGTGGGTTGATTGTTCTCACAGTCATAAAATTTCTCCTTATTTCCAGGTTGAATCTCTCCTTGGTCAGTTTCCATCCATTATTCCTTGTCTGACCTTTGGATGCTTTGGAAAATAGCTTGACCCCTTCCTCTTTGTGGCAGCCCCTCAAATATTGGAAGATGCTATCCTGTCTTCCCTGGTCCTTCTCTTCCCTAGACTAGCCAGGCCCACTTCCTGCAACCGTCTATTGTATATTTTAGTCTCCAGTCCCCTAATCATCCTGGTTGATCTTCTCTGCACTTTTTCTAGAGTCTAATGTCAGCATTGCAAGTAACACCTCCTCTCTTCCCTTCCCTTCCCTTCCCTTCCCTTCTTATTTCTATTTCTCTTCTCTCCTATCCTATTATGCTAATCTAATCCTTACTTCCTTGAAGAGAAGTCAGTTCCTGTGTAATCATTTGACCCCAACCTACACCCATGTCTGAAGTCCATTTGCATAGTTTACAACTGACAAACCTGTGGATGGGGAAGTGCCTGGAGGGGGTAGGTTGACGAGAACCGAGAAGGAAAATGGGGATAAACACACACAAAAAACTGCGTGCAGCATTCAGGCCAATTGAAACCATCTCCGGCAGCCTCCCTTTTTTTTAAGTTATACAGGTCGCTCTCGCCATGCAACCAGAATTGAGCCCAAAATTTCTGCCATTGAGTGAGACAGTTAAGTGAGCTTCATCGTCTTGGGCAGGAGGCCGGGTGGGGGAGGTTTAATCCAGTCAGGAGGGAGGGGAGGGAGAATCCATCCTGTCAGAAACTAAGCCTTCCACCTCCCATACCATTCTGCCAGAACCGATGAAGCTTCTGGGATGAGAAGCAAAACCTCTTCAAGGGACAACAGAAAGTCCAGTTGCCTTTTGGAAAAAAAAAACACACACCTTTGAGACAACCCAGCCCTGCTACCTGCCCTACCATTAGCTAAAACCATATCCCTTCCCCACCTTCCCTCTCGATACCTGCCAGCACACCTATGCAAATGGCCAAGCACAGTCCCTCCCTCTCCCTCCCTCTCTCTCTCTGTAGTGCTGGAGATTCAACCGGGCACGGAGGACCTGCCTGGCTTCATCATGGTAAGAGATGCTGGGTGTTTTTTTCTGGGGGAAGGGTTGAAACTGATGGATGGGGAGTAACTCCTAAGGCAGGGGTGTCAAACTCGACTTCATTCGGGGCCACATCAGGGTTATGCTTGACTTTGGGGGGCTGTGGGGAGGGGGCATGGCCAGGGTGGAGGAAGGGGGGGCATGGCCAAGGAAGGAAGGAAGGAAGGAAGGAAGGAAGGAAGGAAGGGAGGAAGGGAGGGACGGGGGAAGGAAGGAAGGAGTGAGGAAGAAGGAAGGAAAGGAGGAGAGAGGTATGGAGAAGGAAGGAAGGAGGGAGGGAGGAGGAAGGGAGGGAGGGAGAGAGGGAGAAGGAAGGAAGGAAGGAAGGAGGGAGGGAGGGAGGGACGGGGGGAAGGAAGGAGAGAGGAAGAAGGAAGGAAATGAGGGAGGGACGGAGAAGGAAGGAAGGAGGGAGGGAGGAGGAAGGGAGGGAGGGAGGGAGAGAGGGAGAAGGAAGGGAGGAAGGGAGAAGGAAGAAAGGAGGGAGGGAAGGAGGGAGAAGGAAGGAAGGAGGGAAGGAAGGAAGGAAGGAAGGAAGGAAGGAAGGAAGGAAGGAAGGAAGGAAGGAAGGAAGGAAGGAAGGAAGGCAGGCAGGCAGGCAGGCAGGCAGGCAGGCAGGCTTGGTGGGCATGGCTTGGTGGTTGTGGCCAGCTCGATATCACTTGTGTCATGGGCGCCTGTGCTGGCCTGAAGTGCCCTGCCAGAGAAAACAAGCTGCCAAACTCCGTTTTCAGCTGCAATGGCCTCCTGCAACCCTCTGCTCTTGAAAACTGAGCTCGGGAGAGTTGCTCGCGGTTCTCCAAAGCTCCGTTTTTGCTGGCAGAGGCACCACAGTCTGGTCCTTTGCTGTATCCAGGGCGGCCCCACCAGAGGTGGTATTCAGATGGTTCTGACCGGTTCTGGAGAACCAATAGCGGAAATTTTGAATAGTTTGGAGAACCGGCAAGTGCCACCTCTGACTGGCCCCGCCAACCCCATCTATTTTCTGCCTCCCATTGAGTTCCAGCTGATCGGCTGGGTCTCCTTTGGTTGCTCTGCAAAAGGAGAACGGAGCTGGAAAGCAGGTTAGTGGGGTGGGGAGGGAAGGGGGATTTTGCAGTATAGCCTTCCCATGCCACGCCCACCACACCACACCATGTCCATCAAGCCATGCCCACAGAGCTGGTAGTAAAAAAAAATCGAATCCTACCACTGGGCCCCATGGCCAGGTCTAAGCACCCCGCAGGCGAGATCCGGCCCCTGGGTGTTGAGTTCGACACCTCTGCCCTAAGGGAAAAGAGGAAACATTTGTGGAATAGAGCCAGGACTTTCTTGTGAGGAAGATCCCTCTGATTAAGCTCATTAACTGCCTGTTGATGTGAGGATGGATCTTGATCTATGTTGTGATGGAATTACACCACATAATATGGAAAGTTAGAAACAGCCCCAAAAGTCACATTCTCCAATAGAAGTAAATCGTGTTGCCTGGTGTCATCAATCGCCACCTCCAGGCCTCATCAGGGTCAGCTTTTGTTCCCACGGGAAGGAGAACCACCTGGCCTAGACAACTCTCCCTATCTCCATTCCTCCCACCTTAGGAATGTGGGAGCACCATGGCCAGCAAAGAGAAAGAAAGGAAAAGGAATATATAATAAGGCTAAATAAAATGGCTCTACACATATGTCCATTTTCGGGCTTGACAGCTGCGTGAATGATGGGCTAGCGGGCACACACAGCCCCACTCACAGGAACTGTGGGCTGCGGTGCTTGCAGCCTTACTCATGCGAATGGCAGGCACACAAGCCTGCGGCTCACACAAATGAAGCAGGACGCACATGTACACCTTCCCCTCACACAAAACCATTGCTTTCCCCCCCCCTCTTCCCTCCCTGTGCCGGATCGCCAATATTGGGGAACATTGCTTTGCACACTATCATATGCTTCTGCATATTTGGAAACATCTAAGGGTACAAAAGAGCATTGGGGAACTTTTGAATTTAGCTCCACTTATCCCCAGGTTGTCAATGCTACCAAAGTTCGATATATGGCCCCTTTAGTGATTGAGAGATCTGGAAAGCTCAAAAAATTGAGGAAGCTGTTGATGGCATTTTCATTCTGATTTCTCTCTCTCTCTACAGAATATATTTGGGAAGAGTAAGGCTCCGTGAGTAACAATCTCTATGGAATTTTACGGCACAAAGTCAGACCAAGAAATATACTGGAATAAGCTGGAATAAGCGGTGGGCATTTAAGGGTGGGATCTTATCACTTAAGAAGAGATCTTATCTCTTAAGAAGAGATAAGACGAAAGAGCAAGGTATCCTAGAAGGTCTTGTACAAAATAGCAACAGCACTTAGACTTATATACTGCTTCATGTTGCTTTTACAGCCCTCTCTAAGCAGCTTACAGAGTCAGCCTCTTGCCCCCAACAATCTGGGTCCTCGTTTGACCAACTTTGGAAGGATGGAAGGCTGAGTCAACCTTGAGCCTGGTGAGATTCGAACTGCGGAACTCCAGGCAGTCAGCAGTCAATAGAATTAGACCGCAATGCTGCATTCTAACCGCTGTGCCACCACCGCTTTTATCAGCTACAAGACCATAATTAATTCACTGATTTTTTGCCTTCTGAGGCAGGACGTGCCTTAATTCCAAATCGGGATTCTGTGAGAAGAAGGCTTCATAACCACAATCTTTCTGCGTGAAAGAATAAGATGTTGGTTGCCAACTAGGTGTTCTTTGTAGTCTGTCTATGTGTAGGTTTCCAGAAATGTTCTAAAAACCTGGTGGAAGCCAAGTTGAGCATGGCTTCAGATTGGAGACCGAAAAGGGCAAGGGGGGAGGAGGTGCTGCGCATTTCCTGTGCATATATATATATTGCGATATATATTGCTCTTGCGGATATACATTGACCCCATAAAATATAACCCAAGTTAAGGGTCAGGTTTTCTTTGGCCTGGCAAGAGAATGAGGTTGCAAGCTATTTTTAGCGATGAATGGAGGAAATAGGAACCTATCAAGCAAGGCTCTGACTTCACCATCTTTGTGGTCCTTAAAGGTCTGAACTTCCACCGGAACCTCCAAAGAGACCAGGTAAGTGGTAGATTCCTTCACATTGGAATGACCTCAGAAAAATGGCAGTATTTCTCTAAGTGATACCTGTTAGGGATATACACCCTAGCAGAACGTGCAACGGCAGTCTAGCAGGCAGGCAGATATGTGAGACAAAACGTTGTAGTAGCTTACACTCAGTAAGACAGATACACTGTGCACCTTAAATAGTTTTTATTCCAGCAAGAGTTATAGCATAGTCAAAAAAGTCCATATGTCATACACTAAGTTCAGTCAGTCCGGGGGTTATTCAGTTTGCAAAGTCCAGTGTCGAAAAAGAGTTC